TTACTGACTACAGCTACATAATATATGCGACTAACATGGATTGTATGGAGGAATGTGGATGTCTACACTAAAGAGATACGCTAATAAGCTTCATTATTCCGACTTTTTGCTACTGGGTTCTCTAACGCTACGCTCTTTAACTAGCTTGAGTTTAATATCTAAGAAGAAGAAAGATTTATCGATCGTCAATTTTATCGCTGCGCCTTATCTCTCAGTACATAATATATCTCGTTATACAATAAAAAAATCGTTTGTTTAATTCGGTATTATAAAAAATGTAAAGATTGCACAATAAAAATTTCATTAATAATTTTGTCCTATAAAATCAACTAATCGTGATTACAAATGTACTCAATAAATTAATTTACGCCTGAATCGTTAAGGAGTTACAGCATTAAATTGAGGACGTAAATCTTTCTCTTTGCGTAGTTAACATTCACATACGCAGCAGCATATTCAAATTTTCATCATCGGGCTAATTAAAACTATTCCGGAAGTATTTTTAAAGTTTCCAATAGACCTGTCGCGAACGGATAAATTTAATTGCATCGATTCCGACACTTTGATTAGTTATTACTACTAAAATAAGAGAACTATCTATAGTATTTTTACACGAAACACAAGTGCCCTTCAAACTTTTCATAATTCTTGAGAGAGATGTAACTCTCTTAACATATTGTACAATGTTACTGCGTATGTGATTATAATATAGACTATAGAATAATGGTTGTTACTAATTCATAAGTGATTGCAAAGATTTCTTGCGAAAACCACGTCGGCAAAATTTTCACTACTCTTCAAGATGAGAAGTGAACATCACCCGATGGATAAAGGTTTTCACGGAAATGCAGAATGTGAAAGGGCAATAATATAATATCAAGGATAATTAGATGTATCTGCTCTTTCTACACAAAAGCCAAAGTATCCTTGAATAGTTGATAGTTATAACGATAACATCGCGGTTACATCGTTATGTTACTAAACTTAATATCAGAGTTCCCTTTATAATATCCGCATCGTGACCGGAGAAACGAAATAGTCGAAGTATTATTAGACATGAATCTCCCGCGAGCAACGAGTCTCAATTATTATTCAATGCGAAGTCTCTTCTGATTCATTGATGACGTTTCAAATTTATGAAATGAATTTTGAAAATGAAGTATCTATTTATGCAGTTGTCTTTTTAGCACAATTAAAAATCACGACGATTTATTTTCAGAATTCACTCAGCACGATTAGATCGCGCCTATGATGTTACAATTAACTTTTGATTCAATATTAGGATATTGTGTTATTACTCTGTTTATAAATAACATTATGATTACGTTTGCTTATTAATGGGCAATTGTGTTGCTGCGTTAACCGCGATGTATTACAACTATCAAATCTAGACGCGTAATAACAACAGCATTCAAATACTCGATAATACCAATTAATTGCATCGAAAACTTGATAGATGCTGCAGAATCCCAATATTCAAATTTTCGAAATTATACTGCATCGTACTGTAGTAACAATTGTCCACTGCTAAAATCAACGAAAGCTGTATATTTGATTTGCTACTTTACATGTTAGCGACATATTGAGGTATATAAATAGTTCATAATGGCTAATTAATGAATTTTCATAATAAACATGCGCGTTCTATAAAAGCAAAATATATCGATGTGATCGAAAAATTTTAATTGTCCCTTTATTACGTTATTAATAAGCATTTTTTAAACTGATAAATAGAATTTAAAAATTATTAAGAAAGAAGATCGACAGCGACGGTAGTAACAATTGAAACTGTAGCGTTGCAATAATAAATTTGGAATTTGTAAAGAAATTTCGTTAGAAATTGCGAAATAGAGTTAGAAATTGTAAAAATTGATTTGTAAAAAATACCAGTAGAAATTATGAGGGAAAACTTGAAATAACAGAATTCATCAACACGCATATTTTGGGTACGCAACAGCAGTAAAAAAAATCTCTTGATCTCTAAAACGCTTCAATGCATTAAAACCGCGCTATCGGAAATTGCTATCGTACAAAAGCAACAATGAAAAAAAAATATACAAAACGTATGTCGAATTTATCGAGATGATTGCATTCAATTTTAAACAACGTACAAAAAAGAAATTTCGACATTCGATGTTAAGCAAAAAAAAAACGTTCGTTTTGATTATTTTCCTTTATTATGATTATTCAATGCCAGGAATTAAACCGCGTTACACGACGAGGTCAAATCGATGCGTCTGGAATTTTTCCAGCTTCTCTTTTTCATGCGACCGAAATAGTATTGTTACAGATTCTTATTTTTCTTTCCCTCGCAGACACACTGAATTATGTAAGCAGATTAATGGTCCGACGTAGTTTCGACTAATTACGCTCTCTTAATCCTCACGTTCATAATTCTATCGTGACGTCAAATCCAACAAACCCTTTTGTTGCATATAACACATCATTCGCCGCGAATTGTGTAATTACACAAACCGAGCAAAATCGAACTCCACGTCAAGCGAGCATCAAGTGGTTAGTATAATAGCTAATAAACTTTACCCGGTAGCTACTCGCACGCATTGTTCATTTATTATGCCAAGTATGTTAATAAAACGTAGCCTCCATTCGTCTGAAACATAAACGCGTGCTTCACTATAAATTGATAGAATTCGCATTTTGAGAAATATGTTTTTTTGAATTGGTTAGAATTGATCTCAAAATTAATTATAATTTTAAATTTTAATAAATTAATTCATTTAAAAAGAATAATATCAACATTTATTTAATTCAGATTGTATAATCAAAGCGTGAAAAAATGATTTATAACAAAAGCAATTTCTGCGTAAAAGCTTGTAAATAAAATTCATTTAATTGACGTATCCAACTATCAAAGCATTTCAGAGAAATCCGATTTTTTACTGTGTTGCGTAATATATTAAAACGTATATCGCAGTATATAATTGTTTAAATTATCTTTTAACATTTATAAAATACCAGAATGTATTTCACACGATACTAATACAATAATAAAAAGAATAATTTAATAAAGATTAACAATATAAAATAATAGATGCACGATAATATTTTCCTTAGGTTACTTGTCATAGATTTTTTACAATGTCATTTGTCATATTAATTAATATCAACAATTCAATGAAAGATAAAATTAATAATATTGTAAATATTACAGAAAGTTTATTTAAGTGAGAAACAAAAAATTATTAAGTAACAAAATTTAAGAATATTTTATCGATTAACTGATATTTTTTATATCATTTTATATCATTGATAACAGTTTAATTTTTTAATACTTAGAAAATAAATATTTTTATATTATATAATTCTATATATATTTATTTAAACAAAATTGATTTTTATTTCTCAAGCAGCACTTTTTAATTTTCATTTAATATCTCATTTAATCCATATTTCAATTTTATACATTTTTCATCTTATAAATAATTTTATAAATAATTCTTCTAAAAAATAATTTCAGTCATTACAAAACAATACATAAAAAATTTATTATTAAATTGATTTTTTGTATAACAAATGCGCATATATCGTGCAAATCTTAATTATCAGAAAACTTTTTTTTTTAAACATACATAACATTCCAGTATGTATTAACATCCTGCGGATTTTTCTATTTGTTAATAATTTTGTAAGTCAATCATCCTACAATTGTTCTTTGTTTAAGATTGCGCCCTTTAAATTCGAAATCGGAAAAGACGAAATTTAAAAGACTGGTCAATCACATATCGAGCTGAAATACATATGGTTAAATGCCGTAACTCGCTCTCGCGAGTGAACCAGAATTCGAGGTATGCTAATAATTCATGGAAATTCCATTACATTTGCGCTTTTATGTACGTGTGTATCGGCATTTCTCGAATTTCGCGTTACTGACAATTGTACGCGCAATATCCAAAAGCCTATCGTACGTGCATAATGGCGATTGCATCGCGTCCATATATATAATGAAGTGCCAATATCGTACGTAGAGTACGGAATTTCGCGAGAACGAGAATGTCAGACATCTAACGCCAGCTCGATCCAATCTTGTTGTTGCAAAATCAGCTTATGTCGCACCCTCGTCACACTCGCGTTCCGCGCAAATCGATCCAGGTGATTTTCGATTAGGTATTTTTCAAGATTTAAAGATATTTGTATTTTATTTAAATCAGAGGATCGATCCGCATTCATAAAATATATCTCCCCTCCCCGCCCTCTTCGATCCATTTTAAAATTATTGCAAATCCCATACAGTATAGATCTCTAATGGATGTCCTGAAGACATCCATAGAACTCTGAAAGTCTTTAAAATATCCGTTGAAGATCTGTGATGTAAGGGATTATACATTTCAAATAAGACAAAGTTCGAGAATTTGTCTTACAATTAAATTAAAGAGGAACATTAATATCAATCCCTTTCTTAGCTGATTGAGTATTGGAAAATTCATAATATATATTATGTATGATCGATCCTGTGAATAATTATATTAAATCTCTTTAGAATAATCCAGTATTTAAGATCTAAAAATGAGATCTACAAAAGAAAATAATTTTATTATTGTAATTTACGATTAAGTGCGAGTTTCTCAAAGAAATCGATAAATTTTGAATTTTAGTAAGTACATTTTATCTGAATGCACTTAACGTACATTCATATATATATTAATATTTATATAAATTACATATAGATAAATTTAATATAGTTTTTAGAAATTTTCAGCCATCGTAAACAACAATTTTATGTTATATGCGCGTAAGAGTTACATATCTCGAAATATTCGCACGAGATATCGAAAAATATCTCGCCTACAAGAATCTTAAAATCTCTTCTTTCTTTTTTTCAACAGAGGAAAATTTCTAAATCCTATCGAGCGTTCATTAGTTTGATAAATCAACCCGGAAGGGTTTCTCCGGCCTCCGCGGTTTAATTTGCACGGTGCCGACGTGGCCGCGGGCGCAAATCATCCGCTGCGCCGACCGGATACGGTATACCTATGCGTTACCTGAGAGCACGCGTGCTGCGTCGGATGCTGCGTGTACGCGGCGTTTGCAGCCGCACACACGCCGGTGCCAGGAACTTTGAGTTGCTCCTTGTAATCGGGCTGGTATGGCAGCAGCATGCGTATCTTGCCCCAGCGATTGAAGAACAGAGCTATCGCTCCCGCCCAGACTATCAGCACTAACACTACTATGCCCACCTCGACGCCGCGGATCTGCGAACCAAGAATTTGCGTCCTCTCGATTATCAGTTCGCGGCTCAGGACGCAAAAATAGCCAAGATTGCTTCAATTTACGGCAATTATAGCGACGACGATTCTCTCATTGAGAGACTCGCCGAGAGACTCGTTAAAGATGAGAGAAGGATTTATTTAGAATTTATTTATTATCGCTCATCGTGTTTATAATTGATGCGTACTTTGTATGACAAAAGAAATAGGGTAACTGTGTTTTTGTGTTTAAATAAGCTATAAAGAAAACTAACACAAATAAAAAAAAAAAGATTTTTTTATTGAATTAGATTATTAATATATATGATAAAGATAATATAATATTTTTTAATTATTAAAGCATAGTATGACATTACGTCACAATTTAGAGAGTTTAATAATACCGCAAGATTTTAAGTTCGTGCCTTGTATTGGAGCTGAGAGCGTTGTATTATAAATGTTTATTGGAATTATAAGTAATTAAAATAATGATTGCAGTATTAATTTAAACAATTAGTTACATTCATTATCTGTTTTAGTAACTATATGTTAAAATAAGTTAAATGAGAATAAGCATATAAATTGAAGCATATTAATGAGTCAAATACAGGTAGATACATAAATTGAGACACATTAATAGGATTAACAAGACTTGGAGAGGCGTATTAATAGGGACAAAACATTTTTTTCATTTTTCATTTTTATCAAAAACATTATAAAGCATTAACATTTTTTAGATTATAATATATTATAAGAAAAAAAACCGATATTAATTTCAAGCAGACAAAATTAAAGCTACAATATTTAATAATTAATTCAGTAATGAATAAGTTGGCTTAAAGTTAAAAATACACTAATAGAGAGTGTTACTAATTAATACTTCGCTAACGAAATACGTCATGCTTTATATGGGCGTAACATAGATTAAAAATTTAATGAACATAGATTAATCATTATTTATATTTATTAATGTATAAAATCTCCTTTAGAGGGAAATAACTCTGTTATTTTTATCGCAAAAGTCACATATTTTATAAGTTACTGTACATTTTACATCTTATTTCTCACATCATTTGAAAATTTTTCGCCTATATTCCATATATTCCATTCCTATATATACAGTAAAAATATAATAATCTTAAAAATCTTTTTTTTTAATGTAAAGAATAAATATTTCATGTCTCTAATTTTTTATAGTAATAAACAATATATAAAGTTTTTATATAAACAATATATAAACAATATATAAAGTAAATATAAAGTTTTTATTGATATAACATATTTATCTCTTAAATACAGAAAACAATATTTAATAATGCACAATAACAACAATATTTAATAATAATATTTAATGGAGTTATCCTTTGATTTCTTTAAAAATTTATGAATATATACTAGATTGTAAAAAACGTTCTGAATTATCCTTCAAAAAGCGATTATTAATTATTCGTTATTTCTAAAATTCGTATGTAAAAACGTTTTTAAAAGTTTTTAAAAGTTTTTATTTAAAACTTTCTGTGACAACTCACTGGAAAAATTACTGTGGCTTTTTTAGAAGAGTTTTTAATTTATACACGTGGCTAAACAGTCCATTGTAAATGAAGGCATTAACCACAGTATTAACTCCACAGATATTAACCTCAGTTGGTGAAGTATTAAAAAAAGACTCATTACTTGCGCATAGGGATTACGCTTTCTCCCGCTTTTGATTAAATTTTTACGCTTTTGATTAAATTTTGACAAAGTTTCACAACTTTGCTTTTGTCTTTCCGCGAGATAATCTTATATCCTAGTATACTATAAATTTTTTGCCTTCATTTATGAGCGATACTTCAAACCTCTTTTGTGGAAAGACATGCTCGGGATAATAGATGAATGTGTAAATATCCAGTTCACGTGCATTGTGTGCTCAGAGAGCAAAATGTAAAAATAAAAATTTCTCTAAACTGGCGCAGAATTTATGCGAGAGTTTTTATTGACAATGGCATCCTATAAGAAATGGCAGACATTCTTCCAACCAATCTATATCTTTTTGATACAGATAGAAGCATCCGCGACGCGCGTATCGAATTTTATTCTCTTGAAAGTTTTTGTTCACGAAGATTTTCTTTTTCAGGAGATATTTGTGTTATAGATCGTTATAGATATAGGTAGGATCCGCGGAAATCACTAAGAAAAGCTCAAAGTTAAACGTCAGTAAAAAGGAATTTTTCAATCTTCTTGATATGCTTTAGAAGAAAGAAATTTATCAAGATATATGTTGACTCAATACTGAAACTTTTCAAAGCAAGAATATATTCTGTTTAAACTTTTCAGAATAGTAAGTTTTCTGTATCTTAATAAATATGCCTACACATGCAACTTCTTTTATTCATTAAATTACCTTTACTTTTTTAATGATTAACCATTTCAAAACAATTACTGCTTCCACATTTTTATCAATAAGTGTTTTAAGAAATTCTAAAAGTATCTATTGATATATAAAATTTAATAAAAACAGTGGTTCATGTTGAATCTACTATCGAATTTTATTTGTCTTCTTACTAATTAGATACTAAAAGAAATAAGTCTTGAATCAACGAACAGAAATGCACAGTAGAAAAATCGTCACATTCTCGCACTGATTTAAAATAACAGAGAAACATCGATGTTGGAGAACTCGGAAAAAAACGAAATATCGAAAGAGAAGCCGAAAGAGAACTGTACATCTGCCTTTTATTCAGCTACATTTTTCTTCCGTTTCTCTAATTCCACATTTCTCGGTGCATGCGGATGTCCTGACTATGGCATGATAAATTGATTTCTCTTTCATCAAAGCAAGTTTTCATTCGTTTTCATGTAATATTTAAGAATATTTCTCCGCCCGACGTGCCGTAACATTTACTCGAACAAAGATTTTTCCAATTGTTCGCTATTATGAACAAAATAAGCAAACTGCGCACGTTTACTCAAACAGCAAAAGTTACGGGAATGATTTGCGACGCGAGATAATAATAATCTCAAACGCGAAATTATGCATGTTTCTGAGAAAAGCAACTTACTTGTATATACGGTTGAGGCTGTTGCGAGGATGGTGGAGGTGGAGGAAGAGGACCACCGGTTACCGCTGCATCTTGCTGCGGGGACGTGCGTGGTGGCTCTGAAAACAACATGATCTCGTTTACATGATATGCCAAATCGCATCATGTAAATTACCACTGTAGGATTTTGCTTGGTACTTTGCGCGTCGGTGTCAGCGTCGGAAAAATTAATACTGATAAGCTTATTTTGCAAGTTAATTTTTGTATGCTGCATATGATTGAAGAGACAGCTATTAAAGGAGCTTAGACGAGCAAAAGAAAGATTAAATTAAAATTTCGAAAAGCTAATTTCTCTTAGAGTTTACTTTTTATCATTTTAATATTCCGACGTTCTAAAAATAAAATTGTAAGCTCTAATGGATTAATTGAAATCCGCTGCTACATATTTTTATTATATAAAAAAAATTGGATACGATATCTATTGCATTTTTCAATATTTTATAAGACTGCAAGCCGTACTGAGTTAAGTTAAAACAAATTTTATAAAAATAATCCATAAGTTAAATTAAAATTAAAAATTCTTAATTACTTTAATGTTTATATATTATTTTATTTTTATTAAATCGTTGAAAAAATAATTATAAAAAATTTGGTTCGTCTTTGTATTTTTAATTAAAATATTCAGAACCTCTTTAAATATTTAACTTACTAAAATATATCTCTAATTGAAGATATGTTTAAAATATATTTTCGCAAACTGCTAAAAAATATTCGTTCATTTATAAATAATAATATTTATAAATAATAATATTTATAAATAATAATATTTATAAATAAGTATCAGAAAAAATTAGAAAAAATAAAAAGTACGTATCCCCAGGAAGATTGCAGAAATATAGTGTATTGCAAAAATACCGTAAAATGCGATACGGCTTGCTGCTCTTTGTGCGGAGGTTAAGGATTCTTCTAAATAAGAAATGAGGAGTGACTACGAAATAAGCGTCATGATAAATTCTAATAATAACTACACAAAATATTAGAAAACTATTTCCCTTTGTCAGAACGCACCTGTCACATGTGACCGTGATGCCGGAGACAGGTAAAGCTTAGGAAGGCAAAGCTTACCGAGTGTACGGAAGACGATCGGTCGGCTTCGAAACTTCTTTCCGGCCCTCACGGCGGTTACGACCAGTTGATATTGCGTGTCAGCCCGAAGGCCGCTCAAGGTGACTGCTTCACTATTTCCCGCGACCACCGCCACCACCCTGTAACTAACCACTTGCCGTTATGATTTCGTCTTTTATATTTACGATCATTTTCGCGCTCTCTTTCAAATGTTTCCACAGAAATAAACATAAACCGTCTGAGAGATTTCTCTAATTCTCTCTGATTATAATTACTGTAAAATAATCATTTCCGTGCTAAGATGGATAAATTAATATATTAAGTTATTACAAAGCCGTAGTATTTTTTTATATGTTTTTAAGATATACTTGACAAAGTATATCTTTTTTATAAAATAAAAAATTAGTTCAGAAAATATATAAATCTTTAATTAACTGGTAAATATTATTTCTATGAAATTAGATATACAATACAATAAAATTATACTAATAATAAAATATACATATTATAATTATACATATTATAATTATATTATTAAAGTAATCTCAACTATTTTCTTCACTAGTATCTCAATTTTATATATGAAAATAATGCGATTTACATTTTCATAATAGCAATACTATTATATTATGATAAACATATTTTTAAGCATGAGTGTACATATTTGTTAATAATAAATAACTGTCAGTACCAATTAGTACATTAACAGTTTGAGAAACATATTTAACGATTATAACCATAATATAATCTCCTATCAGCGATCATTTAACATGCCACCAGTAATCACACATATAATCATTTTTATATACACATTTAATCATTCTTGTTTCGTTTTTATATTATTTAAGAGTAACATATATTTTTTGAGCATTTATACTTCTCAAATAGACTTATTTTTATTACAATAATAGACGAATTTAATCGATTTACTATGTAATTAATAGATGTATGAAATTGATCAGCTTTGATAACGTAATTAATGATTTCTCTACATAGAATATCACAATACACCATCATAATGCGAGATCATGGCGATAATAAAAGAACCCATATCACGTTAATAAAATGGATTATGGTGAAATGAATAGACAAAGAGCGAATAATGAAGGAGAGAAATTAAATGAGATTTATTCCATTCATTTCACATTTATAAGCCACATCAATAGGGAGCACAAAGATAAAGGCATTTTTGCTTAAAAACATTTAAATATTAAGCAAATTATGATAATACATTAATTTTTAACAAAGCGATTTATAGTGGCAAAGGAAGTATAAACTTCTTTTTCATTGAATTACTTCTTATAATATTCTGAACAATGTATCGCATAAAAAGATTTATTTTAAGCAATATATAAAAAGTATATTTTTAATTTATTCTATTCTTTATAATTTAAATTAATTATAATATTAGCTTATTAATATTAGCTTATTAATATTCTTCTTCAATTTAGATCTATGAATTTCTCTAAATAAATTATTTTAGATGATTGATTGAATTATCCTACTATATTAATTGTTATAATAATTCATTATATTTTATTAATATATTTTAATGATCAATATATTTATATATTATAACAATAAAAATCAAAAACAAGACAAGTGAAAATATCGATGTGCATCATTATTCGATAGAGCGATTATCGTAATTGGAGCAGCAGATGGGCATTGAATTTCGAGATATATTCCCATTGTATAAATCAATGATTTGGGAAAAACATAATGGCAAATCTTGATAGAATATTTGCAATATAATAATTTTATAATCTGCGATGAAAACAAAATATTATAACATTAAATACAAAAAATTATTCCAGATCTTTTATTATTGATCTTTTGAAGTTATAAAAAATCATCAGCTTTAATAAATTAATGCGAATAAATAAATGTTAAAATATCTATAAATTTATTTAAAAATGACTATATTTTAATATTGTATGCAATAATATATTAAATCCTAATGGAATATTAAACTGGCTATTTTGTGGAGCTCAATCCTAATCGAACTTTGTGAATTCTATTTACGCAGTTTATCTCTCGTGAATTTCGATACTATAATACTTCAAGAATTCAGAATACAATCTGTGAAAGACGGAGAAGTGCTCCTCTTTCAACAAAGTCATTTTCTTGTAGATTATATCGAAGGTTATCAAAGTGCAACTTCGATTTCATTACTGTGCAGTGGTTCAACAGATTCACTCACATATAGAAAATTCGCTTCACGTTTCAAGTGACAATAATTAAATTGATGATATTAAACGGATCGTAAATAATCACAAAAGATCGAGAAAATATCAGAATAATCTCTGAAATGTTGTCATTCGAAAGTTCTGCTTTGTGTAGCTTATTATTAGATAAAATTATTATTATTAAAATTGCTCGCGTAAATATTGTAGCATATTTCTATGTTATATATTTTAGATGAAGATAAAATAGTTCGTCGAAAGCAATTCGTTTATACAGAAATAATATGATTTTAGTAATCGATTTTAATAATCGAATGAAGTTAATAACAATTTCGATATACATACTGCATTCAAATTACGTATTTATATTTATCTATGTTATGAAGAATAATAAATTGTTTTTAAAATATTAATTATTGATCGTAATTGTCGTTGTAGCATAATAATAGTAATTGTTTGTATTTATTAAAAATAATAATAATATTATTTTTAATATACTGCATATTTTCTAATATATTCAATAATTCAATATATTCAATATTCAATAATTTTGACAATATCAAGTTAAAATTCAGTTAAGGCCAAGCTGTATCCTATAATAATGTTATTCTTTAAATTACAAACTATTGCGTATATATGATCGAATATACGTAACATTAAATATTATTTCGGAAATGGAAAATGTACTGTATATACATACACATATACATATACATATATATATATATATATATATATAGACACAATGCTGCGAATCATCAGAAATAATGTAAAAGTTGTATTCTTCTAAAGCGAACGGAATATAAAAAAAGAAAGTTCAGTTGAACCACAAAGTTGGATCACAAATCAGTTACAGCGCACGTGTCCTGGCAAGTAAAATTTTTCAATTGACCTATTTAATATATTTAATCCTTCTCGTACCTTTTCGTCGTTACGTAAAGGCATAATCTCATCCTTTAAGTACGCGCATGTTGAACTTTAATCCCGTAACACTTGGACCATCTTATCATATCAGAGATCGATGTTATGCATTTGCGCAGTACAAAAGCATTCCTGCCGCTGAACACATTTAAGTAAACGAACGCAACAGACCGTCTGACCTTCTTATGTTCGCGTTTCGCATAAATCAGCAGGACGTATGTCATCAAAAGAAAAAGAATTAATTTTTTCTCCTTAATAAAAATGCTTATGAAATTATTTCTGAATTAAAATCAATGAAATTTTAGAAGCGCTTGCAAATTAAATTTCACACAGAAGAGCAAATATATATAATTACAAATTTATTTTACAATAATATTACAATTTTCAGTAATCACGCGTTTCAAGATTGAAAAAAATAATAAAATTTTTTTGATAAATATTAAATAAATTTTAATTTGATAGAAAATTTTATTCAAGCACTGTCTTTTTATTTTAATATATTTAACGTCGAGTATAAAGTTTTAATTATGTTTTATCATTATTTTAATGATACATTAAAATAATGATAAAACATAATTAAATGTCTGTAAATCTCACAAATCTGATCATTTACCATAAAACATATTTATATCAATAATATATTAACATTTCGAGTTCATCATATTGTGATACAGTAATGTATCATTAGTCTCTAATGAGTTATGTATAGTGTACATAACTCATTAGAGACTAATGATACATTACTGTCTGTAAATCTCACAAATCCGATCATATACCATTACTTCCACATTTACGTAAAACATATCTATTTATATCAATAATATATTAACATTTTGAGTTCATCATATTGTGTACATAACTCATTAGAGACTAATGGTTTGTAAATTTAATATATATAAAATATTTATATACATATATTTGATTTAATATACAAAAAATTAATA